ATTCTAAATCGATATTCCTATTACCTATTGAAGCAGTTATAGATAACGGTCACGAAGATTATAAAACGATGAAAGTGTTACAAGACCATCCTTTGTAAGAATGAGAGAGTCTAATGCTCAACAGTGGCCAGTTGATGAATCAGACCAGGAAAGGTCATTATCGCTAAACGATCGACGCTATTAAGAGACGATTTATCGTACTTTTATTATTTACAAGTACTTTTGGACGCAAACTAACTTGGGGAGTTTTAAGGTCCTTATGGTGAGCCAAACCATCACTTCTATATTCCGCCAATCCTTTTTCAGCCACTTGCTTAATTCTTAAATAATATATCGTTTGAATACTTTAGTATAATTTATGATACTCATAATAATCATATATATTGTAGTTGCAATCTCGATATTTGATATGAGATGTGTGGCAGCTGGTGACGAGGACATTTTATAATTTTGTTATTGGCACCGTCTCACACTAGTACTTCAAATATGTAGACCATGCATACGAGTTTAATATAATAGGTCTTTACCTATGAAATTGCCGTTTTGTATGCAATAAGTGAAAGTACTTATTTTTTCAAACTTTTTTATTTCTGTTATTCGAAGTAATCACCCATGCAATCGGCGCATCTGGGGGTCAGCCATTGCATTTTTCGGTTACGGTTATCGTAAACAATCCACTTTGCGCCACTTGTCACAATTCTATCCACAACACAACACACAATTTATCTTATTGATTCGATGCAAATGAGTAAATATTGAAGATAGGGTAACGTTAAACCACGCCGCTAATTCCTAAATAGTTTGACTCGGTTCAATTCTACGTTTTTTCGTTCGTTAGTTCCAATTTAAAGTTTTCATTACCAACCAATGTTTAAACCAAAATCGCACGTTGCGTTCATTAGCAGTCTTCTCTCCAAACACAACGCCGTTTCTGGCGCGTTAGTTCCGCGTCGGAACTCATATTAAATAATGACTCGGATTTTCGAATATCTCTCTTTTACGTCTAAGCTGAAAAAAAATATATTGAAAATCGAAAATCGAATATTGCACATTTTTTAAAAGAAGAAGAAGTAGAAGAACCTCATCAAACTTTTTCACATGATACCTATCATGTGAAAAAGTTTCACACGAAAATCTCACACCATGAAGGTTTTATGTGAATTCAAAGTACAATAAACAAAATTACGATACAACGAAGCAATTTCATACTTTAACCCCAATTACATAAGTATCGATATTTTAATAAAATTTAATTTTAGAATTTCTGTTAAATAATGATGATCATTTGGGCCAATTGCACACTCATGTGACATTCTTTACTTGCACATACTTTTTAAAATTATAATAAAAAAACTATGAAAACACGAAATGTCACTGTGTACCTACATATTTTATTTGCGTTTATTGATAGCCTAGTATCAATTGATTTATGCATTAACAACGTACACATATCAGACAGCCATTACAGTGGTGAATGGTGCCAAAACGTTCATTATTAAGTATAGTGATGTATAGGTATTCTTGGATGATTGGCAGATTTTTATAATTGTAAATACCAATTTTATTTTATCATGCGGCGCTACCTCACCCACAATAATTGTTATATCTTTAGTACTTAGTGTGTGCTTCTCAGCTTTGCGTGATGATGTAGATTAGTTTATTTAATTAGAATATTTTGTATTTACATTCCAATTTTTTTATCGGATATTGTATGCATATGTTGTAAATTGCTTTCAGAGATTATTCCTTTAAGTGTGTGTCATCTATTTAACCATACAAATGTATGTCTGTTCGTAATGTCAAAACAATAGCTTTTTTTTATATGCCTAAAAACTAGTTTAAATATTTTTTATGTTTGTTTCTTCCGGGTAATCTTCAAAACGGCTAAACCGATTTTGATAATATTTTACGAGGTAGCTGTCTATATAAATATAAGGAGTGACTTAGAAAAAATAAACCTAAAAAAAGCCCTATAAAATTTTTCACGGTCCGAGAATCGAACCCGAGACCTCATGGACTGCAGTCGCGTATCACACTACACTACTAAGGCGGCGCTTTTCAAATTCCACGCGAAAGAAGTCGCGGGTAGCAGCTAGATACTATTATAAATTGTTATATTCAAACGCAATTGTTCTAAAATATTAATAAATTAACAATTACTATTAAGAAGTAATTGAGTATTTTAATTATAAATTTGATTGTTAAATATTAATATATAAATAATTATTATTAATTCTGTTGGACATTGATACATATTTTCAATTAAATTATATTACAAATTAATTTAAGTTGGATGAGATTTCTCGTTGCTTTGGCTAGAATTGTAAGCTGAACCTTTTGAGTGTGATTTCCGTTGTAACGTGTCGCTATAACGTGTTTTATTGAACATTAAATTGGGACAATTAAATAATACATTTTGGGACTGATTAATTATAGGAATACGCTTCTTCGCTTGACAAGGGTACCGACATGGCTGTCAGATAATTAAAAAAAACACACACCAAACTGGTTTTCCAGAAATAAATTTTATACAAGTATACATAATATCTGTAGTTTTAAAATGGCAAGTCAAAAAAAATTAAACAAAGTTCCAAAATCAACCTATATACATATTATCATCATTGGTCCTCGTTATTAAGCCCAAGCATCTGTTGGCCAAACTCCACTATTTAGTAGAAGGTTTCCACTACCTACCTCCTCACTTCTCCAATATGTTAGATGATAGTACTGTCATTGAATGTTATACTCTCAATCTAGTCATAAGTGAAGCTAATATAAGCGTCTTAATGACAATTGGTTTCTTTTCAACTCCTTCGCATTTTATTCGGTTAGTAGCACAACTTGTGCAATAATCTGCGAGATGCTATTATACTGTTTTTATTATCATGAAACATGACGTCATAAATTTATGAATTAGCCTTGTGTTTATATATTGTTATAAATTCCTGATCTATTTTAAAATTTGTAGTGACAGTATAATAAACAATGGTCACTTAACTGTTAGATCATTACGAAGCCCCGGATCATAGCGCGTCCGCTGCTACGATCTGTTGCTATGGGGCGGCGTCAAAATATTCAAAGAACTATACTGACCGGTGATTTTACAGATTGCCCATGGCAGTGCTGGCCAGATGTATGACGTTGATAATATCCGTGTGCCCCGCTGGAACTGCGCCAAAACTACCGAGACGGCATGTCATTGTCAATACTAACACAGTAGGCCACTGTGATGAAAATGTTTGATACAATATTAACAACGTCGTACTTGAATTAATTTATTATCACTTCCTTAATGGCCTATCAAGATTTTACATACATATACACAAACACGTGTCATACACGCATACTAAAAGTCATAACTTTTGGCTTGAGTAAATCCCTTGTTAATAAACTAATATTTATAGCCATTCGCCTACGGCCACTGACTGTTTTGCCACATCGATGTCAAATTAAAAATGTTTTAACTTCCAAATTACGGATTATTTATTGATAATTATACAAACAACTATATAAAGACTGTGTCTTTAAGGTACTCTTTTTTCAGAGATGTCGTACTCTCGTTCGGAGAACATTTTAAATCGCTCGCATCAACTCGCTCGTGGGTGCATAGAACTTTGAGATTTATATTTTTATGTGAAATATATGGTACAGCACTTAATGTATCATCATCGTCATCATCAACAGCCTTCAATAATCCTCTGCTGGACATAGTTTTTTTCTTAGAAATGAGGTTTTGGCCTACTGTACCATTCTGGCCAGACAGGTTGATAGGGTTTGTTTCAAGATTTCCTTCTCTTTGCAAAGCTGTTGTCTTGCGTAGTTTGCTGCCTTAGTCGGATCTTACGACACCCATGGGATGAATAGGGGTGGTGACACTCTGTATTCTTAATGCGTAACACAGATAGGTTAATGTATGCTATCACAAAAAGTGTATGCTTGACAAAATAATTTTAGTTAAACCTTATGTTTTTTGAAAATCTATCTCAATCCTTATCACCAACTGCCAAATAATTATGTACTATCCGAAATGCGTTTTGAAAAGTTCAAAAATGGAACCGATAGATTCTGGGGACATAGTTTATGGAAATCTTTGAACGCAATTTTTCACTGCCTTGCTTCATTTACCTATTGATTTGAGGATTGAACAGGTTGCAATTCGATTATTTTGGTAAGGTTGCTAAGCAATTTATGCTTGTCACCATGCATATAAAACCAATAACAACAACAACAAAAAAAAGCAATAACAACCCCTCAACCCCAACAGTAGAACCCTTCATTTGAAAAGCAATATTGTATTAAATATTAGGCTAGCAGTAGATAGCCTATAGTATTCGATTAGTGTGATAATCGAATACAACTCAGAAATTATCATTTTAAGGCACTTTGAGTTTAGACAACAAAGAGTTCAAACTTTTTTTAACTGATTATTATGTTATCGTTGTTCTATTTGTTCAGTGAGTTAAATATTCCTAAGATTTATTTTAGCTTGTTCCATTAAATGCGATGTTAATAAATCGGTATAATTTCATTACATGTCGTAAGCTGTCAATGATTTCGTCAAAGGTAAAGAATTATTATAAGGTTCATTTAAGGATAAAACATTTTTAAACTATCCGTTGAATTTTGGTGAAGAAGTGGATATTTGTCAGTGGACTTGGATGATTACACTCAGACAGTTGCGTTGTAATTATGCAGGAATGGTGACATTTATTCTCAGGAAAGACCACTAGGCGACCTCGGGAGTCAATGCTCCAGTTGTATTCAGAGCAAAAAGACATACGGAAACAGTGAGGTGCCTGTCTACTTCACACTAAAGTTATTTCGATTGGCTTGAAGCGCGCGGCTTTAACGCACTAACGAGGACGCCCTTTCCACGCATCAACGATGACCCTACATACTGACATTTACAAAAAACATAGTGACTTGTTTATACACAATGTCAACAAATATTTCATTCGTACAAACAAGTTTAGTTTAATTGTCTTTGTGTTCAATTACAGACAAACATGTTCGACAATCCACTTTGGAGAAAATATGGAATAAACAATCGGGAGCTATACAGATGCTACTGTCCCTATTAGAAGTAAGTATCGTTTACATATATTATTTTATTACCTTTATTTTATAAAGTGATGTATCCCAGGTTCCATTCTAAAAATACTTATCTGTATAGAACTCTTGAACACCACGAGAAGTTGGCGCATGGTCATCACCTTGCAATTTATTTTCTTAAATCCAATTAGATTAGAAATCAATACTTGTTTTTATTTATTTTGTTCTTTATCATGTGTTACAGAACTCCAGGGACTCAGCTACCGCGACATACATAACAGCAATACTGAGAGAAGCAATATGTTTAAAACAAGGGAAAGGAAAAAAGTGCTCAGGTAACACGTTATTTCAATAAAATATATCTTAAGAATCAACGTTAAGTTTCATAATCTATTTTATATTTATCTCGGCTTACGTCTGGCCTCCATGGCTATATTTGTATTTAAATGTATCTTGACATGATATTTTATCGTAATCATAAAAACCTTTCGACATTAAAGTAATATTTATTAAATCAAAAAGTACTAATAATAAAATTATGGCTTTTCCGCATTTGGTTTTACCTAATTTTATTTTTTAATAAATTAGTTCCCAATGAACAACCGAGTAACGAGAAGAAAGAAACCAAAAAACCTGGCAAAGAGAATAAAATACCCGCTGTTAAAAAGGGTATGTCAAATGTGTGCTAAGATTTTACTAAACGATGTATAAACTTTATTCTAAATTAATATTAACTAATGTAATAAAGTTACGCACTGCATGCATTAATAAATAATATTTAAGGCTAGTATTAAAACTAGAAAGATTTACAGAAATATCCAGTATCATTTTGCACTACCGGCTTACAAACTCCTCTGTAAATAAAATATATTTCTATGTTAGATTTAAATTAATAGTTCTAATAATAAACAGGCAGTTCAATGATATCGATTTCATACCATTTAAGAGTAAACTCCCCAATATAGCTTTGCGTTGCCTTCCATTCTAATCCAACTTCTCTACTTGCTACTTCGACTTATTACTAACTGGACGTTAAAGGTAGTTGGACATTTTGCTACTTAGACGTATTGATCGTAAATCAAAATATTCTCATATTTTTATTAAAAAAATTGCGCGTTTCACGGTTGTAGGCTTATCCTTGTTAGGCTTATTACATGACTGCGACCAAATTATAAGACGTAAGTGAATGTATGTAAAACAAATTTGTTTTAATAGCTCTGTAAAGTAAATATATCAATGATCGCAAGTAGACATTGAGCAACGGCTGACATTTGAAATATTACTTTTAATATCCCTGTCAACTTGCTACTTTTTGGCCGCCCGCTGACATTTAAGAGGAGCTCACTGATTTGACATTGGACTACTTTACAACAGAGCCTTGTTTCGATTAAGACTTCAGCTATTGTCAATTCAAATGTTGTTTCACCGTGCTGCTTACACTCAATCAAATTAACATACATATTTCGACATACAGAATCGGATAATGTTTACGATCTGTATAATACAAGGAATTGATACTGTATGATCGCGTCGGCCTAGAAAATCGTCATATTTCATATAATATACTAGTAAAAACTAAAACCTTCAGTAATTTATATAGTTTATGGTCTAAGAGTGACCGGTCGGTGTCACTTATATGTATAGAATTAGATATTATTAGTATCAGATATTTAAAGAAAACTAACAAATAGTTCAAGTATCTGGTGGTTAATTCATCATTTTAATTGATTCAAAGAATATGGGAAATAATTTCCTTGTCGTATCTTATTAATCATCTTATGTTATTGTTTCATTATATATTATATTTATATTCACATAATTACATTAAAGAGAGGTAAATGGTTCCTTTTATTGAGAATCATAATTTTGGAGGTAAATAACTAAAAATATTGTAGTTACTCCTACACGTACTTTGAGGAACAAAAATCCTTCATATTCAGTTAGGACCAACGGGGAGATAAATTCATCTACAAAAAAATGAATATTATAATAAATGAGATGGTGAATAGCGGATACTGAAGTAAAAAATAAAATGAAAATAATTTAGAGAATTACAGCTCGCACAAAAGTAATTTATTAAATGAGAGCTGCCAGATCTTCTCCAAAAAGGCCGAAATTAGAGTGACGAAACGATATTCTTGTAGTGGTGTTTCTACGGACATATGCAAGGTCACCCCAGCTCCCCGGGAGAAAAGATAGTGTTTTCCGTTATTAACATTATCCCCGTCCATAAGTTGGTGTTAAAATTATCAGGTGAGGCGTGTAATTGTTTGCTGATGTAGTTCTTAAAAAAAAAATTGGCACCCGTTTTCTTCGTCAAGGGCACTATAGAGCATTTAGGGTTACAACATAATTTCGTTCGTTAGCTCACACAATCTATCACGCCGGTCAAGCCGACCCATTAGTGGTGAAGTATTGCTCTCTAGCAGTAGTAGCTTAGTTACCAGCTGCAGTTGTATATACCACTGTCGTAAAGTCATTTAGGCCAAGTTTACAAAAAGAAAAAATAGTTTTTTTTTTTAATACGTACATTCAGCTTTAACTAACAAATATAACTATTTATGTAAAAGACATTTAATAACTTACAATTTACAATTTTATCTAATTAAGGCGATGAATTTGAGCATTTTGTATGGCATGCATTTACTATATTTTAAAGGCATACATTACAGATTAAGGGCTATTTATTATTTATTTATTAGGTTAACTCACAGCACATATATGTAACATTTATGGTAAAATCTAAGTAATAAGGTTCTGATATACATGCCACTTACGAGCTAACACAGCATTCACAGTTTGGACAACATATTGACAAAATCACATTGATATATTGGTATTACAAACTTAACTTAACACTATTGGTCTGGTGAGTTTAGTAGTTGCAGTAACGATCAGTACATACTTATCAGTTTTTATTTCGAGATTTGCCAAATGATTCCCTTATTTTTACACGAAACTGATTCTCCCTATCATGATACACATCAGCATCAGGCACAGTCTTGAGGAACGAATTCAAATCCCTACACATTCTACTTCGGGGTGCGTTTAGACCAAGGTTAGTTTTGGATAAGGGTACAGTAAGGAGAATGCAAACAGGATTACGTGGCGATCTTCTGGGTACATTAATGGTAATGTTTAAAGTCAAATATTCACTATCAATTTTATTATGCAACACTCTGTGGATAAACACTTAACCATGCATCAGTCGTCTATCACGAAGAGAGTCCATTTCGTAAAATGTAAGCCGATCCTGGTATGGGCATCTTGGATATAAAATATCAAATAAAAAAAATAAATAAATAAAATAATAATAATAATAAATATATAAAATATCAGATATATTATTAATTACGTCGAAACGCACTCATACCATTTTCACCTATACTCTGATTATTTAAGCGAACCATCACATTACCAATTCGATTAAAAGTAAATTTATTTAAGAAGTTTAAATCATTATAAAACTTTCATCATTTTAGCTATTGCCGATACAATTTTATGCAACAAAAAAAATTCAATTCCATAACTATAGACAGACGGGTTTTTATGCTGATTTAAAAATAGATAATATTAATTTATAAGTATTCAATAGAAACATTTCATTTTTTAAATATTTTTAATGCATTAATTCCAGGAATGACTGTTTAATAATTTAATGTCAACAGTTTATTTATTTATTTATTCTTTATTGTACACACTGAACACATACATATATATAAGTAACAAGGAAATGTCATGTACAAAGGCGAGCTTAACCCAAAACTGAGTTTTCTTCCAGCAAACCTTGAGCGAATTAAGTTAATTAATACTCGTATATGTTTCTAACTGCGCGCGTATTTAAATTTAATTTTACAAACTCTGTCACATTTACTCTCTCTTGGTATTTCAAATCAAATTAAAAAGAGTGTAAATTCAAGAAATAAGTAACATCTTTATGGATATTATTTCAAAATAATATTTCTATGGAGAGCATGTGTTCAATAAAATGTTAGAATCGAACCAACTTAAACTAAACAGTTTTCTGTCACGGATGTTCATTGCCGAGGCACCGATAGAAGAAAAAGATAGATAGATAGATAGCCATGCAGTCGTTTAGTTAAGAAAGACACGTGCGATACACGTAACAATAAATTCTACGGAAGAAAGAAATACGAAACTTTTCAAAATTGAAATGGACAATTTCAGCGAACAACATCGCGAGGCAGCAATGTTCACAGCACTTCATATCGTTAACCGGCACGGAGGCGGTGATCCGCACGTTGATAACTACGCACGATAAACGGGACGGCAATGTCGGCACCGAGCTGATGATGATGGACCTCGTGTGGATAATCGCCTCGCTCGCGCCGAGAGGTACGAACTTGATGTAACCTACGCGGTTGATTCCAGCTAACAACATGGCACGGCATCTTTGCGCACAAGACTTCATACTGATAAAAGGCACACAAGTAATCATACGCAGGATCATCTGCACCTTTCACGACAAAAGAGAACGTTTAAGCGGTACAGACATGGTACTACAAGATTTGCTCTGGATACTAGCACCGATTTGCTCTCGAGGTTATAAATACTAATTTTACCATAAAATCATATTCAATTTGCCATCGTTAGGTTCTGTAACTACAAACTTCATACTAAATAATTATTTACAGATCCAAAATTTGCTATAAAAGTAAGAATGCTGGGTTGCGTAAGGACAATGCATTTAATACTAAAGGGGCACTTTACAGACAACAAAGTAATTTTCCCATTGCTTGTCATTATGAAACAGTTAGCGAAAAACCGTAAGTAAAACCATTTATAATATCTTTTGTTTTGAGCTTCGGCTCAACGTTCGTCCGTTGCTTGCAATCTCCATGTTTCGAATTTCGAAGTGTAAGCATTAAAATATTTCAGCGGTCACCACATCTATCTTGATACGTGATGGTGTGGTCTCAACATACGAACGGGTACTAGTCAGCCTCGGTTTTATACCCACCGCAAGGTTGCGGCTTTGCCTGGATGCCATCGATTACTTCAGTAAAAATAGTTAAGTGAATTAATTTTAATGTTTCATAACATATCTAGGCGTCCATTGCAACAAATGTAATCGTTTTTATTTTATAATCACCTATGTCACCATTATCTGATGATATGCATCGACTACACAAAATATGCCACACAATGATTTGGTACAGTCTCATACCACAAAAGACTCAGTCACGTGACACATCTACACGCAACACAGTCTATAACTACAATATTCTGAATGTTTACATCGCTCATGAATTTATGATATGTTCTGTTGCATGTTAGTATATCAAGTTTATTGTGTATGTCAGTCGAATCACACGTGCGTAACTCACACAGAGGTGTGCTGCATGCAGATCGTGAAGACAAGCCTCTCTAACGTGCTTCTCAGGGTGTTCGACCGATGGGATCGCTACGAAGGACGCATGAGACTCAAGATTTGTGCACACATTCTTCAGACTCTACAGCACCTTTGCAATATAAGTACGTATAAAAATAACAATGTGAATAAAAATGACCTCATTAGGATTATCATTTCCTTAAATGTTAGCATAAAGCAAAATAATGTCTGTTATATAATATATAAATATACCTGTTTGCAACTAATATCGCTGATTCCGGCTAATATTTCACTCAAGGGAAAATTTCTCTGATATTGGGTAACCTTGTATTTCCTCTTATTTCTTTAAAATCAAAAAAAATCAGAGGTTTTAACCGTGATACGTGGGACAAGCGGGATTGATACCTGAATTTTTCTGAAGTCTGCTATTGAAACCTGTTTTGGTCAAACCCAATTAAGATAACAAATATTTTATGTTAACTAAAAAAGCAGAGCTATTTAAAGACGCTTAAAGCTACTTTATCACAAAGACACATCTTAGAAAGAACAGTAGTTTGTTCTCCGCTGTATGAAGTAAGTCCCCGTAAAGTATTATCATTTTTGCATCCACCAACATCCAGCTGTTCTTTTTCACCAAAAAAACCTGCTGAATGTTAGTGAGTTTAGTTTATTTTAGCTCTGTTGCAACTCAACGATGGCCTGTTTGATGTCTTATTTAAATAGCTACAACACATTTTTCTGAATATTAAAATCAACAAAAAGAAAAGAAAAGTGAAATTATATCGTTTTTAACTTTCAACTTTTCAGAAGCGGGCCGTCGAGCGCTTTGTACTAAGAAACATGTGCAGATATTACACAGATTTTGCTCGCAGTGTCCTGATGAACCAGTGTTCGACGGACTTTTAGCAAGAGTATGTTCTGTTATAACATTGTGCTTAAAGCATCAAGCACTACCTGTACCTGCTACTAGTCCTGCTACTTTTAATCTTAATCCAATACTTAAAGGTAATTGTTTATGGGAAATTATAAGATTTTCTTAAGGTATTTAGATCAATTTGCTGCAACACCTTTGCTTGCAGGAACAAATGCATCATGGCCGTGTCATGATGATGAAGAAGATGCAGCAAATTCCGATTCTAAAACTGTAAACTCAGACACTGAGTTTGATGGTCCTTACGTAGATTTGGAAGGTGTCGAGGAGTTTCCTGAAATAGATTTTGAAGAAACCGAAATAAAGGGGGAAATGAAAAATGAACCAGAAAAAGAAGTAGAGAAAGAGTTAATTTCCAAAAGTGGTGATAGTTTACAAAGTTCGATGTGGATCAATCCCAATGAGAGAGAATTAGAAGACTTAAAAAAGTAAGCTTACAGCAATATCTCATTGGTTTATTAGTCTTTTAGACAGTTTTTCACTTTATCGTTACTTTCTTTACTTATTAGTAATATTTTCTTACAGATATTTCATTTTTTTTAAAGAATTTGGTTCATATAACAAACAAATTAGACTTGTGCGAAGTCGATCCAACTCCAGAGGATCAATTTTAGAAGACTTCCTAGGATCTCAAAACAACTCACAGAAAACTGCTTCTTCGTCAATGAACCTATCTCTGAGTGGCAGTTTAGGCAACACGGACGGTGACAATGTAACGAATTATTCTGGGGCACCCAGCTATATGCAATTTCACAAAATTCATGAGAGTTCATGTAAGTACTAATAATATTTCAAAAGCCGGATAGATATTTTTGTATTTATGACACAGATGTAATACGTTTTTTTTTTTTAATTAAATGACACTACGAAGGGCACTTGTTTGTAAACTAAGTAATGACTATGTGGTAAATATTATCGTACCATAGAATGTTCCTTTTTACTCTAATTGTAAAAATTGAACAATCTTCAAACCAAAATCTACTAATATTTTAAGATTTCATGACACTTACGCTCTTATTAGTTTTTCGTTACCTTTATACTGCCGTCATAAGGAAAAAGGCATATTGAAATGCATATTTGAAATCAGGAAAATCTTTGATGAAAAATATTGATTATTTTCGTGTTGTGTATATAAAAGCACGATAAACAAAAGTACCTTAAGCACAAAGGGCAAAACTGTACAATTTTTTTCTGTGGTAGTACGTAAAAAGAGCACATCTGACTTACAGTAAACCAAAAGCTCACAAATGAATAATTTTGCTTTTATTTTATCATATTATTTCTAATTTTAATAATGGGGAAGGCATTATTAAACCTTTTTTTTTTTTTTTTTTTTTTTAACGTGTGGAAATCCCCTCGGACCGTCACCCCTCCGGGGTTTGCGGCGGGGTGGTGTGTCGGACTCGGACCGACTAAAACCACACGGTGTGCCACTCTGCGCCTGTAACAGGAGGGATCCGGGAACAGCTGTTGTTAAGACATCCGGACCCCTCCTAGCGCCAGCCCGCTCCTGGTGCGGGCTCCGTCTCAATGTTTTTCCTCTCTTTATAGGCGACGTCCGGCACACGCGGACGCCGCCCCCTCGCGGCTGGCCAAACTAATGCGGGTGGAGGGGAAACCCACCCCGTCCACCCGCGGCCACACTCAGGGCGGCATGACGCTGTGATAGGCGGGCCTCCGCCGCCCGGTTCGCCGGCGGCGGATCGGGTCCGAGTGGAGGTCGTCCTCCCGGGCCCTCTCCGCCGCCTCCTTCCGCGAGATTACTACCTCGCAGAAGGTTGCGACCGCGGTAAAACAACTGTCGCTACCGGCCATGGAGCGTACTACGGCCGGTAGCGAGAGATCCACTCCGATGACTGCAGTGAGGGCCCGGCGCTGCGCCGCCCATGCGGGGCAGACCGCCAGCGTGTGCTGGGCCGAGTCCTCACTGCAGTCGCAGTGGTGGCAGGCGGGACTCAGTTCCCTCCTAGCGACCGAGTGCAGGTACTTTCCGAAGCAACCGTGCCCGGAAAGCACCTGCGTCAGCCGGAAGGAAAGGGTCCCGTGCTGCCGCCCTGCCCACTCGGCGATGACCGGCTGGAGAGCCTCCACGGCGGCGAAGCCAGCGCGTGGAGTCTCCAGCCGGAACGACCAACGAGCCATCGTGGCTCGGCGAGCGGCTTCGCGCCACTCGCGCACATCCTCGGGCGGAGGGCGAAATCCGCTCTCCGCCCGGGAGTCAGCCACTCGTCGGCCAACGAACCGCACTATTTATTTCATTAATATATATTTAATAAGCTCTTTGTCTTTTCAGCTATGACATCCTACTCATCATTAAAAATACATAAAGATATATCGAAATACAGGACATTTGAATCTGTTTACAGTATTATATCATCCAGAGTAAAAAGTGTAATACCATTTGTAAAAGTAGCTTACCCAGATATGATGGGAGGCCAAAGCTTTAACCAGCCTGAACCTCTACACAAAATGGAACGCAGTGCATGCAGGTAATATATTTGTCAGGTAATATATATACCTAGTACAAATGAAGTATTATCTGTGTACAGATAACACTTCATTTGTACTATTATGGGGGTCACAGTGAAAGTGTTTAGAAAATGAAAAACTGAATCATATGCATCTTTTAATATGTTCATTGGTTTTCGTAGCAGTCTTTATTCCTTTTCCAAGCATCGCCACATGTGATGGAACCATTAACTGAAGCAGTTAGCCCACTCTTCTTTAGGGATCTCTTCCACGCTTTTTCCAAACGCAGCCGAGACATTTTCAGGGTTCATAAAACGAATTCCTCATTATTTTTAATTTTTGAAAATCAATGGATATCAGAAAGTGCCAGGTCGGGACTGTAAGGAGGATGGCTCACTAGCTCTACACCTTCGACAGACAGAAATATTCGATAGCTAAAACATTGTCGTGGTAGAGGAGGATCCTGCTTCTTGGTTGCTGTTTTTTTTTTTTTGCTGCTGTCTAACAGTAGCCAAGATAACTAGTAGACAATGACTGACATACCAATTTGCAGTAACATTCCTTTTATCTTTTAGAATAGAATGATTGTGGCAATAGGCATTGAAAGAATGAGGCAATCATCTTTTTTACTTGCGCAGATTATCTTTTGGTTTCGGATTCATAACAATATATGCAGCTTTTTCACCTGTGACGATGTCAAGACGAGTCTCCTCAGTTATACTTTTTAAGCGCTGAGCGGCACCAATTCAAACGACGGCGTTTTTTATTTTCCGTCATCATCATCGTTTTTTGTACTTGACTCATGCCAATACCTCAAACTGCCAAATCTGTTAGATGTCCCACCCTTCTATTAGCTTCTATCATTAACTCACGTTATTTTCAGTAGTCACCGTAAAAGGACGACCTTCTTGAGAATTATCAGTGAGTTTGCTTTGCCAACATTTGAACTCATTAAACCAGTTGTAAACCGTGGCCCTAGATGGGGCTTCGTAATGAAATGCCAATCGATCTATGTAACATTGTTGTTGAGTAAGACGGCAGTATGACACGGATGAATTTCGATATTCTGCGTGAAGTAATTGCCATCAGACTTCCACAACCCAAGTATCAGGCGACTGGCCTCTTGCTCTAGTGGCTAGTGACCCTGACTGCTACGCCAGAGGTCGTTGGTTCGATTCCCACTCACGACAAATAATTGGAGGGTGGCGGGTGGAGGAGAAAACCCGTCCCGTTCACCATGAGCGGCATGAGGTGCTGGCAAGCGCGCCTCCGCTTCGAGGTTCGTCGGCGGTAAATTGGGTCCGAGTATAGATCATCCTCCCGGGCCCTCTACGCCGCCTCCTTCTGCGAGATGAGGTCTTCGCCAGAAGGATGGCAGGCAGAAACAACTATCACTACCGGCCATGGAGCGTATGACGGCCGGTAGCGCGAGAGAGCAGTCTGGTTACCATAGTACAGTCTCTGCCTAGTTTTGGATCAGACGGCCATGTGTGAAATGTGTGAAAATATTGTTACTATTATTTTTTCTTACTTTCTAAAAGAAAGTCCCACATTAGGAATTAGTATTATTATTATATCGATGTTCTGAAGAAAGGCTATTGTTAGACTTTTTGGGCTCCGACTTACCCGTGACGATCTTCGTATGACAACCAGGACCGACGGCTTAATATGCTCTCCGGGTCTCCATGTGTTAAGAATGGTCAACCATCTATAGACTGACCTGGCTATGATTGCTTGACTTTGCAATGTGACTTGACCAACCTACTCGGTTACCACACAAGTGGTAAGTGGTAATAAATGAATCTATAAAATTGTCTGTAGTCCAGACAATTTGACATATAAAATCATTAAACATCTACTAATTTCGCAAGAGTTCCTAATTCCAAAACTCCTTTTCTTAATGGCCTATTCTTTTTTAAATAATAAATAAATAATATTGTACCACATTCACACAACGCCATCTAGTCCCAAACTAAGCAGAGCTTGTACTATGGGTACTAGACAACTGATATAAATACATATATACTTTTTTTTGTAAATACATACATATTATACATATAAACACCCAGACCAAATCAAACATTAAATGTTCATGCACACAAATGTTTGACTTGAGCGGGAATCGAACCCCCGACCTTTGGAATAGCAGTCCGTTACACAAACCACTACGCCATTCAGTCGTCGAATTCTATTCTTCGTCGAATTCTAAAAAGAAATACATGTGTGATTCAGATAAATGTTTTAAATAGATAATGTATATATTGTATATGCACATGTACGTATGACGGCCTTATTCCTAAGTGGTCTCGGCCAGGCAAACCTTGATCTATAAAAATGGTGATATCTTGGGTCCTAGTTGCTACTGTGGAGAGTACTACTACCTATGAAGAGCCAGTCGGGTTTCTTTTCTATATTTCTATCTAAATGAGGAAACTGTTTCAGAACTCTCCATCATAGGCGTTTTAAAAAAATACTAAGTATAGTAACACCCGAAATTGATTTACGGCAATCTTACGTGCCACTGGATTCAGCCTGGAATACCAATATAACATAACACAACATTTATATATCTCTATATATATATATGTATAAATTTTAAGTCACCTTATACTTATGGCCCTCCTGGTACACAGGTTGAACATATGTCCATAAACGTCTTAAAATAAAATTTGATAACCTTTTACATCTTTAATGGTGGTTTGTGATAAAACAACAAAAAATTGTAATAGCTTATAGTTTCTAATCGGAATAAATTTAATAATTCAATAAATAAACAATTTCAGGATAAAGCTGCTTTCATGTGTGGACAGGGCCATAAATCCAGAGGCATATATGAACGAGACAGTTTATGATTTAGATGCGCTTTGCAACATAAACGTCAATCCTGACATCAACGCGCAGAAGAGGTACAAATATAGAGGTCATATGTTTAATGTAGGAATTAATAAATAGTTGTAGATAATAATCGGCTATATATTATGAAAATATGAAATGTTATTATTACAAAGTGACCTACCTTCAACGCGATAGGGTTATCACCTAATGAATCCTTGGATGACTTGAATCGTTTTTACAAAGTACTTGATGAACTTTGTTTAAGTAGTATATATATTTTTATAGTGTATATTATATCCATAAAATTTAAGTTATAACTAACGATAATTGTGTTAGGCAAAGTCAATTTTTATCCCTATGCCATCGGACCGTCGTAAAACGTATAGGGCTCATTTAACTTTATTTCTTTTATTGATACTATTTGAAACGAAAACTTCACTTTGTTTAGTTGCAAATAGTTCATTGAAATAAGGTTGTAACAGTTACATAGATCAAAGTAATAATCACTAATACCGCTTGTGCCGTGTTTTCAGGCCAATCAAGTTTTTCATTTGAACTAGTAACTGCGGGCCCTGTTGTGGACCGCATTATTGCATGTCAAACTCTTTTCAATTTTAAATTAAATCTCTTACATAAGTAAACAACGGATTTTAGTACTCATTTAAAAACCTTTTAATACAGTTTCAGCTCAGAGAGTCTGTTCCTGACAAACACCGACGAACAAGAATTAAATAAAGGGAATAATTTTACGTCGAGGTTAAGTTTCGAGTCTAGATTCGAATCTGGCAATTTAAGAAAAGTTATTCAGGTAATCATAATTGACCCTCATATAATTTTGGTTCTAGTTTCTTCCCTAACTATTTCAAGTTAATAGCCATTAAAATAAGTTAACCAGTTGTAAAGAACTACACGTTAATCACGATTTTATTGTATTCCTATAATCCAGTAATAATCTAGATGTTTCACTGTAGTCTATTTACACAACTATTAGGTTTAACGAACAACGAAAAATCATTTAGAAAAGTATTTACCTATCTCTAAAGTAGAAAAAGAAAGGCAATGTTTGCAGTAAATCCTTAATTTGTAATCGCAATTGGCACCCTTAGGACAGGCTAGCCTAGAATGGGGTCACCGGTTTGTATTCCTTTGTCCCAACAAACTGTTAAATATCATTACTAATATCGATATCTAGCCTGTTTGGCCTCTTCGTGTCCTTAATTTAAGCCATATAACTAATAAAATGGCTATATCTTCTATCTATACTTTGCAACAAACTATCAATTTAATTGCCCTGCATTTCCTCATAAACAAAAAAGTTTCAGTAAATAAGTCTTCCGCTTTATACTCTGCTGCAAGGTGCATGTTTCATATTTCTTCTGAGTAGCTTAGTCATAGGAATCACGTTCACCATCAATTATGATATGAAGCAAAAAATAATTACTATAAAGTTATTTGTGAACCTATTTAAGCAATCGCAGAACATGTCGTAAATAGCGTGAGACACACCTGTGTTAATTCCTATAAAATTATATTCCAAGCCTTTTTAGATTAAATTTTTTATATCTCGCCGTTACATTATGTAAAAACTTCAGCTCAAACGTGAAACTAGACCTTTATCACTAAAACTAGGGACCCGCCCCGGCTTCGCACGGGTGCAATGTATGATTTCACATTACAAATCTTATGAATTCTCGGGTTCTCCCTACTATAATATGCATGTACAAATTATTTTATAATAACCCCATTTAATAACTTATAGGGGCTTGTTTAAAAAAAATAGTAACAACGTTTTTTATTACTTTTAATAAAGAGTATTTACGGTGAGTTTGAATCCAACCCCCATTTTGCACCCTTAGGGATGGAATTTTAAAAAATCTTTTCAACATTTGCAACGTGCAAAATTTCATACCAGACCCAGTGGTTTCAGCTGTGCGTTAATCGATCAGTCAGTGAATCAGTCTATCAGTTTCTTCTTTTATAGATAAACAATAGTTTTCCGTACTATGTGTGAGTCGCCAATATTACGACACTTTTACAAATCCCATGTTTTCGAAACTGTCACAAGAAGATGCGGATAAGTTGCTAAAACGTTTTCTTTAACTGTGAAATGCACAGGAAACAATGCGGTAATATCAGCATCACTATAAAAATAAAAAAAACAGTGTAAATTTACACACATTGCGACCCCTTGAAAACCCTTCCTATTTCAAGAAAAGGAAGTGCTCCTGAATATTCTGTTTTATGTATAAGCTATACCTACGTATCTCGTTAAGATGAATGACTCCAGGTAGGTCCGAGAGAATACGAATTGATCCTGATGCCTGACGTAAACTCGACGAAGCGCCATCAGTGGTTTTACTTCGAGGTCCGCAACATGCAACAGAACCGGCCCTACATATTCAATATCGTCAACTGTGAGAAGTCTGACAGCCAGTTCAATTTCGGCATGAAGCCTGTCATGTATTCGGTCAAAGAAGCCGTTACGGGAAGACCAGGTAACTTTAAGATCATCACATCGTATGAAGGTCAATTCTATTGTGTTATCTGATTAATTATATATGCGTATATATATCATCAATAAGATTTTCAGAGCATATATTTAAAACTAACATTAGTACTACATATCTAAACACGAAGAAATACATCAGTAAGAGCACCATGCACTATGTGTACATATTGTCTTTTTTTTTCTTTTACAAAGACACGAGGGACAAACATACATGAAACGGACACAAAGAACAGCCAGACTCAGAACAAGAATTTTTGGATCACACAACGTGTCGTCCCATGTGGGGATCTAACCCACAACACTCAGCGATAGACATGGCAATTATTGCTACTTTTAAATCAAAGATATTAAAATTCATTAAATTCATTAAAATCAAAATTCTTTTTTTATTAAATTAATTAAAGATTACGATCTTTTTTATTTTAGATTTAGATCTTTTGAGTTTTGCTCTAGCGTAATAATAATAATTAAGTAGCAGTGGTTTTGTAAATCAGTCAGAGGTGTGATGATATGATTTACATATGATATGATTTATCACAAGTGATTGTGATTTTATTCCATGCCTACTCAGCGTAGTAGGAAGCAGCGTGGCGACCACTTAAACCACTACGCCATCCATGCAGCCAAATTTTATAACTCACAAATTGGCCAAACAAGATGAATCCTCTATTTTTGAACGAATTCGTAACTGCTTCATGCGATACTAAACACTGGCGTTCCTGCCATTGTCAGAACATGTTAATTATGAGGACAATTTTTGCAGTAGTAACAGTATGATTAAAGTCCAATCATGTGATGTTTCTAAGAAATTAAATCCAGCTTAATTGCCGATCCTTGATGAGATTTTTCTCATTATAAATGTAATTATACACCACTATTACACTCGTATCAAACTCCTCATGAATAGTCAAGTAGTAAAGTCAATAAGTTTGCCCCTTAAAAACAAAAAAACTAGCTCATTTTGCATTCTGGTATGGAAACATTAGGAAAGGAATCTATGACCACTTAGTTAAGTGTAAATACACAGGTACAAGGTTTGCTACATTAATGACAAGATGTTAAATTCCACTTAAATAACGTCTAAGGTACCACATGCCTGAACTAAAATCCGTTATAGTCTTACCAGGATCTAGTAACTGCTTGATGTAGTTATAAATTGGCATCAACATCAACCAGAAATAGTTAAGAGATTTACATAAAGCGAACTTTACAGTTACAGATGTATAAACATGAAGGATTTTATTCCTTTCAACTCCGGTTCTGACTGTACCATCTATCGTCAAACGTGCAAAGATGACATTACCTTGTATAGACCCCAATAAATTTTGCCAGTTCTACATTACGTTCATTCTGTTGTTAAACCAGTACTTCGTTTGACTGTGTTCTAGAATTGCCAACGAACACATGATGTTTGGTGTTGTGCGAATTTTGCATTTTCACTGGTAACCTTCATCCATCAGGCAAACTTCTTTAGTTTTAATAAAGTACATTTTCTTTATCAACAGCCTTTAACAGTCCACTGCTGGTCATAAGCCGCCTCCCTTAGAAAGGAGGTTTTGGCCTACTATACCACGCTGGCCAGACGGGTTGGTATAGAGTTTGTGTCAAGTTTTCCTTCTCTCTGCAGGGCTGTTGTTCTGCGTAGTTTTTTGCCCTTAGTCGGCTCTTACGACACCCACGGGATAAATAGAGGTGGAGACACTCTGTATTATTAATCCGTCGCTACACGGACTATCCGTCGCCACACGGACTTCTCTAACAATAATAATATTCGCCAGGTTGGGTCCGGACGGGAACAGACATATGCTACTACCGCAACAGCTATCACTACGCTAACCAGAAGAATCACAACAAGTGTTACCTGACCGTGACGTTCAACATCGAGTTTCCTCACAACAATGACGTCGTTTACATCGCTTACCACTTCCCCTTCACTTATTCCATGATGATGGTGAGCTACTTGTTTCTATACCCATTTATCTTAGTCTGATATAAATATTACCACGATACTGAGGGCTTAGTGTGAGTTTATGTCACTTCTACTCGATCGTCACTGTGACCGCGTTTGGCGCTGTGATTGGGCCGCGCTGTAATCTTCACCAATCGCTACGCCGAACGTGCTCTCTGTCGAGAGCGAATAGAAGTGAAATAAACCTACACTAAGCCCTCTGTTGGAAACCATTTTAGTGCTTTATTTAGAGCAGCGTGTTATGGAACATATCGAGTTTCAACATAAACATTTATATTAACAAAGATCTGACTGATCGTAGCTAGTCTCACCACTAAAAATGTATTACTATTTTACTACAATAAAAAAAAAATCGAAGGCTAAATTTGTACCTGTTTCACTTCAATCACAACGGAATGGCTTGAAGTGTTCTAGATGAAATTTGATATAGCGGTAGATTAGAGTTTGGAATAAAAACTCTTTATTCTTTACATTTAAGACTTACAATGGAATACCATTGCAATCTCGAATGCAATCTTGAATGTAAAGAATAAAGTTTTTTTTATTTTGAGAAATTAAAAAATAATCCTTTGATCAATACCTATAATTAAAACATTCCAATTTTATTTTTAAATTCCTACTTTTTTTTTTTACAAACTCCATAATTAATAATATTATTAAATATTGTAAGCTAAAAGTTATTTAGTATTTTTGAACAGACTCGCATCTGGCAGTGGAGCCTACAATTACCTCCAGGAACGTACCTACGCGCGGAGCCCCTATGCTATTCACTTAACAACAACGAAGTACCGTTGCTCACCATCTCGGCTGAGGACACGCCTACCAATCCCATAGTGGTATGTACACTACACACTCACAGGTCAAATAAAATACCGATGAACATGTTTGCTTTTTCTTCACAATTTCTGCCTTCCACATATAATGATTTCCTAGTTAGTACTTCTAGTAAAGTACTAGTAAAACATTACAACATTCCTGAAGGACCTTTGATAAATTTAATTAAGATGATGTTTCTGAACTTAGGAAATTTCTTTTTTTTATTTAGAATCTTGATTCTTATCCTTAGACTGAACCGTTTATTGAAACCAGTTCTTGATTGAAATGTAATTTAATTTACAATAGACGAGCATATCATATAAAAAGACAAAATCATCTTTGATAGGATTTTGTATGATGACTATAATCCACTTGCCCAGAACTTTCGATTAGTTTAATTATTCATCATTATTTTGAATGCTAGCTTTGAAATTATTCCATTATATTAGATATTTCAATATGCTTGAAGTGTTAAGTTCGTAACAGCAAAGATTCAATTAAGCTTTGTTCAGATAACAGGCGATGAGCATTTGTTTTGATAAAGCTCAAAATTTAATTAAGCAAAAATTGCTTTTGAACGTACTCTATCGACATGATTCGATCTTGTCTGATTTAGTTTTTAACTATTTTATGTAATTTAGGATTTAGTAGATCAAACCTAATAAATCCAAATTACACACAAAAATAGTATTTTATTGGTTTGTACATAAGGTATTTGTTATAACAATAATACTGGATGCAGGATCGCGAGATAGTGTTTCTATCGGCACGTGTTCACCCTGGCGAGAGCAACGCGTCGTGGGTTATGGACGGTACACTGGCGTGTCTGCTGGGTAGCTCCTGTGCCGCTGCTGCTCTCAGACACAAATACGTGTTCAAAATTGTACCCATGCTTAATGTGGAGGGAGTCATCAATGGATGGTGAGTCAAATGATGCATACATATTTATTAAAGTAGAAACTTTATTAACTTCGCTACATCACTATTCTTTAAATTCTTGAGTTTCAACTTAATATACTTAACTAGGTACGTCTCGTATATAAACACTATCTTATACCACTATTTTAAATGATATGTCCAAACGATCAATATCTTTTTAATTTTCTTATATTAAGTTAATACAGTTTACGGTTTATTACTAAAAACATCGGAGATCTGACGTTTCTACATTATTTACCTTAGAGAGATGTAGATACAGGTAGGTGGTAAATACGTGGAATACTCATTTTGTGATACTCGAAATTACGAAGACGGAGGCAAGTCGCACGCACGCGAGTCGCCAGCACCTTCAAGCCTTAAATCATGTTGCCCCTTATATACCTTCGAAATCCCCATAATCATTTATTAATAAGATTGAAATAATACAATACTAGAAGTCTCATTTACATTATTTACGTGATATAGATATAACAAGGCGTACAGTGCACCCTCAACACGCAAGCAGTTACAATAAATCTTAAAAATACGCATAAATGCCTCAAATTATTGATATAATACTTTTCGTAGAGTGAATACCTAATTGTTTGGAAAAGATAGTTTAACCGGCCGGGCCAATACTAATACTTAGGGGGAGCCAGCATTCCGCTGGCGTGGACGGAGTGTTCGGTGGCGTCCGGCTCGGCAGTAGAGGGTGCGTCGTCGGCGGACGCGTCGCGCTGCTCGTTGCTCAGGTACGCAGCGGGGTCATCACCCGCCATGCCCTCATCGTCGTCATACGGCCCTTGGGTCACCTGTTCCTTCTGCTCTGGCTCGGTATCATGCGCGTGTGCGTCGGATGCGCGAGAATAGTGGGAGTCAATTTGTGGCGATGATGACAGGCCTAGCTTCTTGATGTGTGGCGATTGTAGGCCATCGAGCGAGGTAGGGCGCAGTTTGCCGATGAGGTCGTTGAGGGTGAAGTGAGTCGGCAGGTGTTCGGAGCGCGGCGGCGGCGGCGACGACGACGTCAGTGGGTGAGCTGTAGTCGTCGTCGTCATTGACAGCGGCTTCCTACAGATCAAAACATACCGACCCTCGTGTTAGAGAGCCGCTTATAAAACCCCCACATTGTTCGACCACCGTTATTAAAAGATACTGGTCGTGTTAATAAACAGTTAAAGAATTAAATAAATTAGTAGTGTTTTAAACATATTGTTAAATACAATTTAATTATAGATAAAGTATCACTTGAACGAGAGATACCAAGCAAAGCCCCCTTCACCCACCCACCAAATTATGTACTCAATTTTGAAGCTTTTGTATGATAATCATAAATAATATTGAAAATGAAAATTACATTTTCGTCACAATAGCCAAATATATTCTGCTGGGTGTAGGGCTCTTGTTTGGTGGTTGGGTTGGCGCAGAGGCCTTATCCCGCGGGCCAGCACGCTTGAACATTTATTCCTTCCAGTTGAATTTATGTTAGCACACTGACTACTTCTTAAACTACTATCCCAAATGTTATTATAACAATTAATTATGTCGTCTTTCTGACATGTTGTATACACATAACAAATAGTAAACTCAAAAGCTATAAAAAAGCCGCTAATTGCATGTATAATTGGAGTGAGCGCGCGGCTAGTCGGGGAACGGGCCTCCGGAGACGGCTGGCATCTCACCTGGTATTACCCCTGCGCTGAGGACACGGGGATGGAGCCGTAGTTGTAGTAATAACAGCGGGTCTGCTCGCAGATGAAGTCCTTGATCTCTCCACAGTGCTGTGGCTCCCAGTGGAAAGTCGGTGCCTTTAGCGAGACGCACCCGTTTGTCATCACATGTTCCGTTCTGGAAAACCAACTAGTTCTTTATGCAATATGCATTGTAGAACCGGTACAAGAATTGAAATTACATTGGCCTTTGATGCCAAGCTATTTATAAATGAGTTAACGTTGCCAACAGAGCGCATCGTGGGAAAAATGCGTAACCAACAATCTTCAAGAGAATTTTATAACATGGTTCATGTCATGGGAACTTTAATGGAATTTCATAGTTTACTAATATGAAAAAGGAAAGAAACGATTTCTAACTAAACAGATGAATATTAAATATAATTTTGCCATACCCATGTCTCGCGGTACGCTGAGGGGCAGTGCTACCCTGCGGTACGTCTAGCGGGTCCATGCTATCGTCGGCGTGTTGGCTGGGTGCGTCCATTGTCAGGCGCCTCATGTAGTTAAATGTCGCGTTGAACGGCAACCCAGTGCTCATCCACAGGTACATGTCCGTACCCAGATTATTTCCGGAAGTCCAAAAATCGTACTTGTTGTAACCTGGAATTTGTTATTATCATTTGTAAACATTTTTAAATTTCTTATATTCTCTACTAGCTTTTGCCCTCGGCTCCACCCGTGCGTAAGCTGGTCATCGCGGTTTAAAGTAGCCTATGTAACTCGCTCTTAATGTAGCTTTCTATTGGTGAAATAATTTTTAAAATCGGTTTAGTGACTTAGGTGTGAAAGCGTAATAAACAAACAAACCAGTACCAGTAACCAGTAATTTCGATGTCAATGTTTCCGATTTAAAAAAAACAAATAGTATACAAGACTTAAGTATAGACTGATTCATCCACAATAAAACGTAAACTATGTCTGAAAGACTATTACTCAATTGTGGATTACATAGAAGAAAAGAATGCTTGGGATTAATTTAGCACAGGCTATTTCGTAGTGGAAATGTGATATGGTCTTGTATGTTTTTTTTTTATGTTTTACTTCACTTTCTTTTTATTTGATCTTTTTTCTTAAAAGGGTTTTCTGTTTCTTGTCTTTTTACCTTTTAGTCCTTAATAACTGACATACTGGTACACATCGCAACAACGTTGTGGCACATTTATTGATACCATTGTATCTATCTGTTATTTTAAAAAAGAGTGGCTGTGAGTTCTTTTGCCCTTTCTTCTTTTATGAGAAGAAAGGGCCTTATGGTTATATGAGCCTGATGGTTCAACCCCTTGGAAACGAGGCGTTGTAGATCGGCTCAGGCATATAATAGATTTTCCATACGTGTATATTCATTTTGCTAAATATTTGTCGAAATAGAGATTTTTCCTATAGTGCGTATTGATCTATGACTTTAGATTCGACATTAAAGACGATTTCAAACAATTAAAACAAAAGGAATATGATATTTTGAGGAGTTTGAAACTCACTTTCATATTTATAATATACTCGTAAGTATGGATGACATAATTATTATTGTTTGTACGAACGCTTCGAACTATCCAAGTCTCACCTGCATTAGTCAGATACGTAGTTATAGAATCAGCTTTTTCCTTTGTTTCAAAAGATGCGAGCTGCAAACCTAATGATCTGTAAACAAATCAAAAATTTAATTTATTACATACCCAATAAAACAAAATAATTAAGTAATTAATTTAATAAAGAATTAGATTTTTTTTAATAATTAATACATTTTCATTCGTTTAGTAATCAATTATTAGTATATTTAATTTTATAATACTATAATATATTTTTTATAATAATTAATTTTAATTAATTTAATAATTAATTATTATTTTTAATAATGTATTTATTTTAATTTATTTAATAATTAATTATTATATTTTAATATTTAATTTATTTGGACTACTTTAATAATTAATTATATTTTTTAAATTATTATACAATACAATGTATAAACATTATTTAAATCTAGGTTACACATAAATTTAAAATTTAGAAATTGTGGGGAGACTGGTACCTAAGCTAGGCTCGAGGCCTGTATTCTAAGATTCCAGATATTCTTCAGCCCAGATATTATACATTACATTAAATATGTACTTTATAGCGAAAGGCTGCAGTAATGATGACATTGACAATTGTAGTTAAATAATTATTGTGTACATAATCAGTTATTGAATCTACAATTAGTAATGATTTTAGGTGAACGTGTGTGTGTGTGTGTTTGTGTGTGTGTGTGTGTGTGTTTGTGTGTTTAAATGAGTTAACGTTACTTAATGATAACTATAAGTAATATGTATACTATAAGCATATCGTTTTGAGCATTACTTTTTCTACATTAAAATATTAAACTATATATAACACGAAAATATTCAATTTAACTCAGAGTTCCCAACCATGTAGGAGATCTATAAATACGTGTTATAGTAAAGTGAACACAAAAACACCGACAGACAGACATTCATTAATTTTATACCAGGAACAAGCATAAGTCTTAATAAATTAATAACACTAGAACTAAATGAGTGAAGTCACATAGACACGTCGTATAACGGGTATGTGTCCATAACATCCAGCCAACTCCCACTTAATGTGTAAAAACATCTAGAGGTATAAATACCAATCATACATACATATATCCGTTATTTTTTAAAGGTTTTCATTACAAAGTTTTCAAATACTCATCGACGATTAATCAACCCTGCATTTACTTTACGACAGTTGTACAATAAACCAACGTTAACTACAAACGCGATTTAGCTAAGTAACTATCGTTGTTAATAGTATTCAGCCATTAGCCTGTACTGAGTACGAGTACAAGTTGCACCGGAGCCTGTTTATCGAGACGCAATTTATTTGCTAAAGACAGCCCGTTCAGCTCATGGCCTTGCCACCATGAAACTGCATTCCTTCTCCCAAGTTCAAAACACTCTAAAGGATTTAAATGTCCACAGAGATACAACCATGTTATCTTGAACTGGTATTGATTAACGCTCTAATATCGTTTTGAATTATTTTGTAATAGGTACTAGTACAATGAGCATTCGTGTTTTTATAGTTCTTATGTTTGAAAATATCATTTCTTTTTATAATAACTAAAAATTTAGGGCTATAAAGGCATTTTATTCACCAAGAACACATCTTGTCTCCAAAATCTTTTAACATTCTGGGAAGACAGTTTTACTTAGATTTTTGTTTTGTTTATTTGAATTCAAATTATTGCAGTAAAATATCGCCTGGTAACATTGAAATACGATTACAACATTTACAAATTTAAAATATAATTTCGTTTTTACCCTACCATGTTTTTCATGAGTATTAAAATTTGTATTTAGAAAATGCACATCGTTACTTTGATGAACATTTATTATAGCTCCAGGTGTTTTAGAACAGTCTGTTATAGAAAATAGTATGCCTTATAGCGAGAAAGTTGCATAGGTAACCTAAAATTTAATGTTTAGTAGATTTGGGTTGCAGAGACTGTCGAATAATAGATCTCACAACACTACTAATATTATCGATATTTCTTCTTGTTTATCACCAAAACTTAAATGGTTCTAAAAATCACTAACAATTGAGTAGTTTGCGCCAAATTAGTACCGTTAGTTGCCTTTTGTCGTCGCGATCGAAGCAAACCGTAACACGACACGCAGCAGTTTGTAAATTATCCACGGGTCCGGTGTTATTGCGACTGGCTACCGCGACGCATGAGCATAAAAGTTGTCGTCACGCAGCACCTGCTTCTGCATCTCGTCATGCTTGTCACGACGACAATTCAAGTCATATTTTACGACGATTGTACCTCGACCTTAATCGATTTCTTACTTTCAACATTTCCTTAATATTATTTTCTATATTTACTTAGTGATATTTAGATATTGCAAGGCTTTTTACCACTGTAAGCAAGCAGAAACCGTAAATAGGTCGTGACTTTGACGCGGTGGAAGGACATCGTGACCGAGCCATGAGGCTACTGACCTTTCATAGCAATTTAAGCTTGCACGTGGGTTGGATCTAGATTGTAGAGTACGCCACCTCACCTTCACTAAAGTGAACTGTGGTGTTCACTGCAAAGTTCAATTTTTGAAAATGCCAATGATTTCTTGCATAGGAAATCATTATACCTTAAAACAAACTAACTCGTGGATTTTCAAAGTAAATAGTGACTACATATTTATACTTTTGATAAATATATTAAAATGTGAGTGCATAGTTATCTACTATTTAGAGAAATTATTAACTCCGAAAAGCAAAAGAAACTATCCGATTTCGAGAAAATATTTAGAGGAGCATCTCTACGGAAAAAAATAAAAAATAAAAGAGGAGCATCTTTAATATTTTAATGAGTAGGTAAGTTATTCTAATTCTTTATAGTCATCATCTAATATATAAAAAATAAAAACTTTTATTATTAATATTAAATTAAATTTGAAGTGATATTTAAAAAACACATTATTTAAAGCTATGTAAATTTTATTTAAAGTCATGTCTTGATTTTTGTATTTTAAAGTCTGATAGATACCTTGTATTTTAAAGGCTTTACGACGATACACGTAAAAATCTTTGTTTGTTTGTATTTTATAGGCTAACACACAGGCTTTTCATACAATTTCGCATACACCGAGTCAGGGATATAGAACAGAACATAGGATACTTTTGCTCAAAAAAAAACCAATTTCCCGAGCTTCCCGATCACGGAAGTAGTTGGCGTTGGTACCGATATTGTTCGCGACTTTTCTCTGAACCTTGTAGCGGTAATGTAAATGACCCTGCACTTCCTTGTGCAAAGCGCCGGAGCACACCCAGGCGCTAGATGCGCTTGTTAACGCGAGCTTAACTCTGCCTATGTTACAACTTGGAACAGAACACGACAAACGAGATAAGAACGTACGAAGTCACGATTATAGAATATTTATTTCGTGAGAACCTGCTTTCAGTGTTTGTCAGCAGAAACCCTGTACATTTTTCAAATCCAAGACTTGTTATACACTGACGGTTGGAATGTCTCTTGTTAATGAAGCTACGATACAAATTATTTATAGCATGAATTCGAATACTCTAAATAGTTTATTTAAAAAAAGCAAATATCGTATAATAATGACTTACAAAATTCTAAATGGAAATCTTTAAAATGATAATTAATTAATGAAAGACGCATAAAACATAATTTAAGTAGATAGCGTAAAAGTTTTTTGGAACGTCTTTTTGGATACTAAATGTAAAGAACTTTATTGCCAATAATCATGAGACTTGCCTGGAAGCTTGAACAAACTAAGCGTTTCAGTTTGAAGAAAGCCTTGCGAGTTGTTTATGATCAAGGAATGGCTATTTTTGACATTACACCAACTATTTAAAGAGTAAGCAGTTTTGTTGACAATACTTATCATAATTCTACTTTTCTTGTTAATCTGGTGTTTCAGGTCCGACGGGAACAATGCCTCACTTTATTTCTTTAAAACATAGATGTTTAGGCAGCGTAACAATCTCAATAAATGTAATGCGTGTAATATTATGTTGTATTATAACATGGCTCTTATGAAATAGGTTCGATAAACCTTCAGGTTTTAAATACTTGTTGTAGTTACAAAGACCGGTTTGGTTATAGAAGGACGTCCTAGGCATTAGTAAACGTCTGCGTCTCTGCAGAGTCTTATAGCTTCATACTCGCTCTCCCACTTTTTTTACACAAGCAGCCTCACACTAATTATTCAAGTATTTATTGATTGTTGCCTTAGAAATTATTATTATCTGTATTATTTCTTACCTGCAGTACTGATAAGCAAGGAAATAGTTGAGCTCCGGACTGTAGGGGTTCATTCTTGATATGAAATATTGAACGCCATCTAGTTGAATAGTCGTTATCCTTTGTGCTGAAACAATAGAGGATATAATGATTAATATAAGTGTATAAAAATCGAATAGTGTCTAAAATCGGGGCGAATGCTAAAACTGCCTTATGTTATGTATTTTACTCGATTTTGTTTCTATCATCGTTGATTAATATGCCGTGATCTCGCAGTTATATATAGCCACGGTAACAGTTTACCTACAAGCCAATGGTGCATGTTTGTTAGTTCTTTACACACATTTTTCGAAATTCATTATAATGCACTGAAGTGATAGTAAAGTTGCTAGAAGAATTTCTAATGATCTAATAAAAATAATACTTTCCAAACTTCAATTGAATAGCTTCGTTTGCTCTTAAAACCTACTTAGCTGTAATAATTTTCATTTTAACTTCGACTTTTTGCGAGTATCCAGATACCTAGAACGATTTATATTAGACTTGCAACGAATATTCGGTTACTATTCGGTATTCGGCCTATTCGGCTGCTTTTATTATATTCGGCCGAATACCGAATATCTACATATTATTCGGCCGAATACCGAATACTTAAATAATATATTTTGTCATTGAGAAATAATTGGTAAAATGAAAAATTAAAATCGATTGATTACGTATATATTCATATTTTCATTTCTGTTATAATCATTTAAGTAGTCATTGGTGCATAACACAGGTACATAATCATCTTCTGAATTGGAAAAATGGAGGATTTTATGTATTTGAATTATTGTGGTAATCAAAATTTAGAAGGGTAAGGTTCTCATTTCTTTTATAATCATTTATTAAGTAGTCATTGGTACATAAAACAGGTACATAATTTAATTCACGTCTGTACAAGTTTTTGGCGCTAAAATCCAGCCGAATACTTTAGCCTAATATTCGGCTATTCGGTCAGGGGCCTCGCCGAATATTCGGTATTCGGTATACTGCCGAATATACCATTCGTTGCAAGTCTAATTTATATGGCATTAAATCCGTCTAGTGCAAGTTATAATGCAGGAAGTGTAAATATAAAAAATAAAAACTGCCAGCGTATGTGACACTTGTCTACAAACAAAAATTAGAACTTTTAAGATAAATTATTCTCACAGGAATGCCTGAATCAAATTTACAATATTATTTTACCACTTTGATTGATAAACATTTTGGCTTTCTAGTACTAAAATTTGGCCCCAGACAGACTTAGTGACATCATGACAGTTCCTTGATGACTACGGAAGCCTAAAATGTGTAAAAATATCAACAGATACATTTTATTTCCACCCGCTCTCATTCTTTTATGTTTTATTTAAAGATTAAAATCGCTATGAGTTCTTCTTTACCAATATCCTAAGTAAAGTTAACAGAATACAAAGAAACCTTAGTAAGCAAGGCTGTTCTTTTATATATTTTTTTGTTCTCCTGCAAATGTGATTAGTATAAAGATATACTTGACTTAAACATCAGTGCTTTCTTAAACTTAATTCAGTTTCTTTTGTACAATGCATTTTGATGTACGCCTTGTACGTCTTGAGAATTCTTTTAAATATCGAATAAACAATGCCAATAATACGTTTTTACAAACATTCGACTCTCAGTATTATAGAAAATTGTCTTAAACCATCTTAGCGTAGAAATATACGTGTATCTCAAACAGGAGATAACACACAATGAATCTTGACATGGCAATGAATATGACCTGAATAATGACTTGTATTCATTCATCGCGCTTAATGCGAGTGTTACGAGTCCGACGCCTCTTCGCTCCTCATCTCTGTTACCTTGTGATTTACATCACATGTCACATGACATTGGCGGCCATTAACATTTCGTAATAATTTGAGATCTTAGTTCTATGTATTCGTTTCTTAGTTAGTTTTATAAAATATTGTTCATTGCTCATTATCTTATATTGCACGTCACAAACGTGTTCCCACACTTTTCACAACTGTTTAATATGATGGGCGCGGCGCCTAAAGTTCATTATTATAAAGTTCGCAATTTTGCACGTCATATTCATACTACGATTGCAGTAAAATGCAAGGACGTGCATCACATATGAAACAAAATTCCGTCGACCCCACGCTACGATGTACGACGATAATTTATATTAAATTAATGTCCACAGCGTTGTGGTTAACCGCAACGTTTTTATTACTACTTATTTAGTTTAGGTATTCAACGGTGCTTTCTTTCATATGTCATGTCCTAATTAAATTGAAATCAAGACAGTAATATAACGTAATAAGAGACACACCAACAGGTTTTAAAGTAAACTAACTATTAGCAGTGATGATTTGACTAAAACGCAATGCGCAATCCTTAGGTCAAAGCACCTTGATAATAGATTTATAACTGCAGTGTCATCCACTTTAAGAAGCTTCGACGCGAATCTCGGGCTCAGGCGAGCACGAAACGCTTCAGACTGCATCTTTACAACCACGGTCATTATTTAACAAGACCACGTTCGTTCGTACCAACAAAACCAAGATTTTGTTTTCTCAAGAAAGTATGCACATTCCATGTCTCCGTGTACATATAAAGAGTGCCTTGCAGTCTCTCGCAATAGATCTACAAGAAACATGTCACGAATATTGACTTCGTTGTCTATATATGTGTACATACATATATAAAATGCATTAACATGCAGGTCATACCTATAAAGAGAGTGATAAAGAGGCTGATCAATTATATATTTAAGTGAATCCTATCATATTATGAGATAGGATTACGCTGTTAAGCAAGAGTTATAAACGCGTCGCTCCTGGGATTTACATACTAGTTTTAATGATAACCCATTAATTGGCCCAAGATTGCTAGAAGCCTAGTCAGTCGTTCTCACGAACACTTATAAAGATTGAATCGAATTTATTACCAGGCTACATGCTACATAAGAAGCGTCCTGCTTTTAATAAAATACCCTGGTAGGTACATGGCGTGTTTTAAACTAATGAAGCAATATCCGCATGCAACGATGCCAATCACTTTTCTGATAACGCCACTTATAAACACATACGACTGTGTGTCACATGTACTGTAAGTTTATAGCAAGGATTTTTATTAATCTCTATAATTCTATAGTAATCAAACATATAACATGTGGATTGAGTTTTAAATAAATAAATGAAAGTTTTAAGAACTTTACCAATTTATCTTAGATAAATCACTTGATCAAATAATCAACTCATTCTTTTTATTCATTGTAATGAAGTTGTTTGTACCTGCTTAAAAATATATCTTTAAAACCTGTATATTGGTTTGTATCAGGAAATAAAAATTGGATAAGGAAACTAGTTATTTTCTAAATAAATTACAAAACTTATAGAACAAATAAAACATTTTATGTTTTGTTCATGAAAGTCATTACATTAAAATCGTTTGAAATACGTAAAATGATCTGTTGGCAAATCAATACATCCCGATGTCAAGGCTGGTGGCTCAAAGTATCGGTCCTTGTGATTCGCTGTAGGCCATGGAGAAATATGCGCTCACGGTAAACTGCACTTATTTGCATAGAGTTGTGTCATCTAATGACAAATTGCTTGGTTTATAGTTTCAAATTATAAATGAAGAGACATAGATAAAAAAAAACAGTCTATTTCTCATAAAAGTTAAAGATTATTAATAATTTTTTTAATGAATTCGAAGAAAATAGGCATTCACGTGACAGCGAACACGCCACGCAAAACATCATAATTGTTGTTGACGTTTTCATACAACAGAGCAGGTTACTCCTTATTGTTTTTCGTTTTTAGCATATTTTCTCACCTTAATACAGTTTTGTTTCGCAGACTGTGACGTCATTCAAGACGCCATGACACTAGTCAGCATTTTTCAAAATATGTAATTTTGCTTTTTCTAAAATTGCTTTTACTTTAAAATATAGTTTTTTGGGATAAAATAGATTTTAAAATATATAATTAACCAAGTTTTCAAATTGAGTCAACTAGCTTATTGTTGGGAATGAGGTGTATTTATGGTATGAAAACTATTACATTAGCTCCACGGCCATGAATTTCAGCTACTGTAATATTTTTGTAACAACCCTATTTCAGGGTAAATTCCATTAAACACACATTACATGAACAGCCTTTAATAGTCCACTGCTGGACATAGGCCTCTCCTTAGAAAGGAGGTTTAGGCCTACTATACCACGCTGGTCAGACGGGTTGGTACAGGGTTTGTGTCAAGTTGTTCTTCTTTTTGCAGTGCCGGTGTCCTGCGTTGTTTTGCGCTCTTAGTCGGCTCTTACGACACCCACGGGATGAATTGGGGTAGTGATATTCCGTATTCTTAATCCGTCACTACACGGAACCATTAAACAACTAGGTTATATTGCGAACTAACGTAATCGGAGAAAAATTAATAATTTTTTTACCCTACATTTCATTCTATAACGTAACCTATACCTGGAGTTAAACAGTCGTGACTACGGCTGGTGCGATTGAATCAAAACGTCGGATAAACATAAAGCGCATAAAATATTATGTTCAGTTAATCAGGAACTTTACTATACAGGGGCTATACTATACAGTACAGGGGCATAACAACGACCTACCTTCGAAGCTCTTTTCCAATCCATAAACTAATCATAAAAGGAATTATTTTCTGCCTTGTATGGTAAATATAATTATTAGTTCCCACGTGCAAGATTTATAGACGCGAATAGAATTTGAGTTTGTTGATTGCAATCGAGTATAAAGGCACACCATGAACTCCAACGTTTCCGCTTATGGTTGCATTAACGAACCTATTCAAACCAAATAATCACAGCCTTATGTGATTACAAAGCTGTGTATATACAACATATATATAAAACTTGTGGTAAAGAACGTTAGAAAGTGGTGGCTGACAGCAAGACGAGTATACACTGGCAACAATGAACGTCGGGGAGGCGGGTCACGTCTCGGGAGTCATGCGCGCGCGCGCCGAATACTGATGAAGGACATCGGCACTCCCGTCCCGCCCGCCTGCACTCCTCATCGGAACCAGCAATACGTGGATGGGACAGTTCCACATAGTTCGCAGCACTAGTTTTATAGG